AATGATAACTTGAAACTTCAACTTCGAAAGCGTATGGTTAAATGCTACATTTGGTCAGTCCTCTTATACGGTGTCGAAGCATGGACATTAAAAATATCCACCATTAATCGTCTGGAGGCCTTTGAAATGTGGCTGCACAGACGTATACTAAAAATTCCATGGACGGCTATGCTGACAAATGTGGCAGTCCTTGAGAGAGCAAATGCTGCTCGCGAGCTGCTTGATAACATCAAATGTAGAAAGATGGCCTATTTTGGACACGTAGTAAGGGGAGACCGATATAATATTCTTCAACTTATTATGATGGGTAAAATCGAAGGACACAGAGGAATTGGTAGAAAGCAGGCCTCTTGGATGAAGAATATCAGAGAGTGGACAGGAATAAAGAAAGCTAAGCAACTCTTTAGAATAGCTCGAGACAGAGACAGTTTCGCCATGTTAATCGCCAACGTCAAGGGGACTTGATAGGGCAAGTTAAGAAGAAGAAAAAAAATTGATGAAAGAAACATGGATTGAAATGGAGTAATTACAGAAAAAATACTTTAGTTGCAGAATACTTTAGTTAGACAAATAAAAAGGGAACACTGGCAGAGCTTCTCAAAACAGATGGAACACGGCTTCTACGGAACACAAAAAAAATATGAAGAATGATCAGAGGACAAAAAAAGAGGTAAACGAACTAATAAAAACGAAATACATTCAAAAGGCAACATGGACAGACTACTTTTGATCCCTATTTGCTAAAGGTGACGATAATGAACCACCATCACCAGAGATGACGGCAAACGAAGAAATAGATATTGAGAAGGAAAAGATTAAGAAAGCATTCATGAAATTATAAAACAGAAAATTACCAGGAGAGGACAGAATACCGAACGAAGTATGAAGTGACCAGATCTGACCAAACAAGTACTAAAACTAATCCAAAAAATAATATAAATTCCTTAAGAATGGAGATAAAGCATCCTAATACCTCCCTTCAAAAAGAGAGGCAAATTGGACCCGGAAAGTTACAGATGAATTAATTTATTAAACACAAAACTAAAATTAACAACCAAAGTAATAACCGACAACAAACCGGTATATTTATGTTTCGTGGACCTTAAAAAGGCATTTGACCGGGTCAAATTAAAGGACGTTATTCACTTATTTTACGCAAGAGAGATACCTTCAGAAATATTCAAAACGATCGAAAATATCTACCAAAACAGCACAATAAAAGTAAAAGTAGAAAAAGAACTAACTGACCCTCATGAAGCTAGCAATGGAATAAGACAGAGAGATTGCCTAAAGAAGAACTAAAAAATGATACCAAATGGGAGGAAAACAACTTTAACTACTCTGCTATGCAAACGACGCAATACTACTCTCTTAAAGTGAAGATGATTTACAAAGTATGCTGCACCAATTTATTAACTGTCAGAAAATTTAACATCTTAATTTACCCAACAAAGACAAAACGCATGGTTACAATAGTAAATTTACTAAGATGTAAATTGGAACTGGAAGGTCAGATAATAGAAGAAGTGATAGAGTTTAAATATCTAGGTATTACATTATCCAGCTACAGTAAGCTCGAAACTAAAGTGGACAATCAAGTGAATAGAGTAAAGAGAGCCGCAGGCTGCCTGAATAAAACAATATGGAGAAACAAAAATATCGAGAAAGAAATGAAAGGCAGAATTTACAAAAAAGTCATCAAACCAATAATGACATATGCGGCAGAAATACGTATAAACACGCATAAAATCCATAAAAGACGCCTATACTGACGGAAACAGACATATTATATTGCATGCGGGTGGAAAACATGGTTTTATTGATGGAACGGATCTTAAGTTTTCGTCACAATTATAATCGGCTAATTATTACGACAACCTAAATACGGAGATGCTTGTAAATAGTTGAAAGAAAAATTGCTTCCAAGATTACATGAACGAAGAATCTGTTATAGGTTTGGATAATTCCCCATACCATAAAGAAATTTTAAATAAGCAACCAACAAACTCCTGGACAATACATAAAATAAAAGAATGGTTAACGAATGAAAACATTTAATTTCCTCACTGTTCTTTCAAGCCGAAATTACTACAGTTAGCTAAAAGGAATGAAAAACCAAAAATATTTATAGTTGACCAGATTATACATCGTTTTGGACATAATACGGCCCCCTTACCGTTATGAATTCAATCCCATTGAACATATTTGGGGAATATGCAAAACTTATCGTACGTAACGGTTACAGTGACGCTGCAATTTTGGAAATAACAAGAAGCTCGGAATACTGTTACTCCTGCAATTTGGGATAAAAGTGTGCGGAAATGTGAAAAGTGAATAGAAGAATGTTGGATGCATGAAAATAGCATCGCAATTAACTAAGTAATCATTTGCAATCCAAATGAGGATACCGACGACAGTGATTATGGGTATAGACCTAATTCTTGATTACACTGTAAGCTAATATGCTTTCATTTTCTCATTAAGAAAAATTTCCAGATCCAATCTCAGAGTACTTTTATTATAGAGGTAACTGGACTGTAGTGAACTAGACTTCACGTGGCTCTCCAAGCCCCATACTAACCCACTAATACTGCTTAACTAATAGACATAGTTTACCAATCTCAATGGCTATTGTCCACATCAGTAGATAATGCAGGTCTCGCCTATGTGATGAAGAAGACAAAACTTTCTCACATATCTCCTATCAGTACCAAGCCATGATCTATCAGAAGTAGCAAGTCTTTGGAACGTTAATGTAGTCAGACCACGGGTCAACCCACGATACCACACGTCTACTAGAGGATTCGATTGTAAGGCAGAGATATGGACTTAAGAGAGATCTTTACAACCCTGCGTAGCTCCTAGCCTCCTCAAGAATTTCTCTCCAATCGTCCCTATCTATCGCCTTTCTCCACCGAGCACGTATTTCCATATTCTCACGTCTTCATCGATGTTATCAAGGAACCTTGTTCTGAGTCTTCCGCTTCTTCTCTGACCAATGGGTCTATCAAACAGCGTTTTTCTAGCTGGATCATTTTGTTCCATTCGCATTATCCACCTAAATAATGCGGATGGAACGTCCTATCTTAATATGTTTTACTATATCAGGTTCCTGGTATATTCCATAAAGCTCGAAGTTGTATCGTCTTCTTCACACTCCATTGTCACTCATTGCTCCGTAGATTCGTCTTAGTACTTTTCTTTCGAAACATCTTAACATATTTTTATTATTTTTTGTTAGAGTCCAGGTCTCCAAACCATATGTTAGGACTGAGCGTATTATTGTTTTATAGAGTTTTATTTTGGTATTTCTCGATATAATTGTAGATTTAAGTAGGAGATTGAGCCCAAAATAGCATCTGTTGGTCGAGAAAATTCTGCGGTGTATCTTTACGGTAGTATTATTGAGCGCTCCCAGGTATACAAATTCGTTCACTGCTCCGATGACATCGTTTTCTATAACAACTGGTCGTAGGATTTGTGGTTGCGTGCTTATTTTCATATACTTCGTTTTGTTGGTGTTTATTATTAAACTTATTTTTGTAGCTGATTCTTTTAATGCTACATAAGCCTCTCGTGAAGCTTTTTCCGTTCTCCCAACAATATTGATATTATCAGCATAGGCCAGGATTTGCACTGATTTATTATAAATTGAACAAGCGGTTGTGATTTGTGACATACGTATTACTTTTTCCAAAGCCAAATTAAACAATATACAGGAGAGAGGGTCTCCCTGGCCCAGACCGTTATTTGTTTTAAAAGGTTCAGACAGTTCCCCCTGAATTCGTACTCTACATTCAACTTTTTCAAGAATTAGTTTTGTTAAATTTACCAACTGATTTGATATGCCTAGCTCTTTCATTGCTTTGAACATTTCTCTTCTATTCAGAGTCATAGGCTGCTTTGTAGTCTATAAATATATGACTAGTATCAATGCCATATTCCAGTGCTTTTTCCAGAATTTGTCTCGGGGTTGCAATCTGATGAATTGTAGATTTAACACCTCTGAAACCAGCCTGGTATTTTCCTACTATCCGTTCTGCGTATGGTGCCATACGGTGACATAGTACTGAGGAAAATATTTTATACGCTGCATTAGAAGCGTAATTCCTTTGTGGTTAGAGCATTCAAGGTCATCTCCTTTTTTGTGTATGGCGCAAAGTATTCCAATATTTAAATCATTGGGGAGGGATTTTTGATATTATGACCACCTTCTTTACATAGTTAATGGTGATTTGTTTCTGGCTAGTTTTTTAACTGCATCTTTAACTTTAAGAATCGTTGGGGGTTTCTCTTCACTCTGGTCTGTGGGACCAGCTTTAGGCTATCTAATTATTGTATCGTAAGGACTCAGATAGGTTCTAACCTCCATAAGCTATAACATAACCATACCTATTCCAGTAACTTTTAAGATTTTGTCTAATGTATTTACAAAAAACTGAAACCAGACTACCTTAAAAATTAATAAAAAACAATATCGTGCTCGCATCTTTACTTCAACTAATAAATCTTTTTCCTCTAGTGCTAAAACCCTCTGTGGGTTTTGACCTGTTCAACAATTGCATTCCATTCCCTTCTGCCGTTGGCAACTCTTCTCCAATTCTGAACTCCCATAATCCTTGCATCATTGTCAGTACTCACTACCTAACGCTTTCTGGGGCGGTCTCCATTTGGTAATATTTGTTGTATTTCTTCATTGCACATTCGAAGCAGGTGGTCGAATTCTGTATTTTATATAATTAATAAATGAATAATTAACATATCCTCCGTATCTCTAACGATTATATTTTATATATAAAAATGCAAATATAATTGTAATGATTTATTTAAGGTTAAAAGCAAAAAGATGGCGATAATACAAATATGCAATTGTTACAAATAAACAGATTACAAAATTTAAAATTCTTATTCTAATGTAAATGGAAAAATATTAAAAAATTACAATTAAAAACTACTACATAATATGTTATCGAATAAATTAAAAATATATTATATAAATATCACACAACGTTAGTTTGAATCCAATCTAAATAATTTGTTACTCTTGTAAATACACCAGGATAGCCTATTTCGGCACACCTAAATCCATAAGATATGATACCAATTTGATAGTACCAATAATGTTTCTGTTCTTTGACGGCAAACATCAAAGGCCCACCTGAGTCCCCTTGACAAGTATCTTTTGCTCCAGAAAGCCAGCCAGCACAAATTATTCTATTATCAATAACTGTATTTTGACCAAATACTCGTTGGCAGCTGTTTTCGTTTAATATAGGCATGTCAGCTACTTGCAATGATGAGCTTCTTGGTCCATCTGAAAAGCGATAAATAGATTAATAAAAACCAATTTATGCGAATAAATATAATAAAATCCATATTTAAGCCTTAAGAGAGGTATATGGGCTGTGTTTTAAAGGTAGCAAAGTAAGTTTTGTCTTTAAAATAGTCGCACCAAGAGTTATATACTGGAGGTGATTTTAAACAACTGGTCTTCACAAGGTAGTCAACTCCCACTAATGACTCCAAGTGCCACACTCTGGTAACTGCATCGATCAATAGCTAAAGATCTAAATCAGGCAGGCTAAATCAAGTGAGGCTAATGAGATATGGCAAAAATTTCACAGAGTGGTTGCAGATATAAACAATCCTACCACTTACTAACCAGGAGCTCTGGGCGGACGAGCTAGTAGGTGGAGGAACACTCTTTTGTTCTGAGACTAAGAAGAAATTGATATCATAAGGATGCAGAAGGCAACAGGGAACCACTGCAATAAAGACTAGTAGAGTACTCCTGGTACAATTAACATGGTCGATTTGTGCTTTGGAAAAGAAATTGTCGAGAAGAGCAACTGACTGAATTTGTTGCAGAACAAGAGTTTGTTATTACTAATAACCATTTTTAACTCACACACAAAAGATTGTACATCTAGAACCCACCTCAGGATTGCCCAGACCACATAATCAGAAATCAAATAGATTACAATAGATTATTAAGATTCAGTAACTCCCTAACATCAGGAGTGGACATCAAGTTAGATCATAAACCTCATTTTTGGTAAAATAAAACAGGTTACGAGACAATTGGAGCACGAACACATAAAACATAGTGACAAAAACATTACGTACAGGAGAATTTTCATACCATTATTTAAGCAAAAGGTACAAGAGAAATTCCAAATCACTAAAAGTGAGGAACAGTCATGGACCACTCATGGATGACAAACCAAATTGTAGATACAATAAAAAAAAGGCGAAAACTCAAAGATAAGAACAAAATATCATTCAGAAAGACAGACAAAAAAATCAATATAGAAATTATAATAACTAAGGTTCAATAGCTAACAGAACAAAGCGCGGAAATATGGCTACTGCCGCATAAACACAATTCCTTCAGTACGCACAAAAAATTTAAAGAAGCTGCAGACTTATACAAGCCTAGAAGAGGCGGACATTTGGCTGATAACCAAGGTAAGCTACTATTATATTAGGTGTAGAAGAAAGATTAATACGTAGAACACATAAGAGGAAATACGTTTTGCTGATGAACGACGTAACACAGTTAAAGACATGGAATGCCAAACAGGACCCACGATTTCGATCACATCTGCTCTGATCACATCTTTTATCTACATGAAAGATCAAAGATGGGAAAGCTATAGGATCTGACAAGTTTTATGCAGAATTCTTAAAACTTACGGATTAACAAGGGATAAAATGGTTAACAATTAAATTTAAGATACTCTATATAACTGGTAAAGTTTTACAAAGCTAATTAAATTTACAACATGGTTACAGATACCCTCTACATAAAAGAGAATGTCGAAAGCTCGGCGCAGGGAAAATTGATGCGGTTCAACCCTGTGATTTAAATATTAATTAAACTTTGAAAATTAAGGCAATTATATCGAGACAAGTTTAATTAAATCTTGCCCAAGTGCTTTCGCTTAATATAGCATCTTCAGGGGCATCTGAAATAAGCCAAAAGAACGTTTTTTAGATGAAGGAAATTAATTAACTTCGATAAAATTCGAAGTAAACACAATTTCAACATCAATACTGGTTCGTCTATTTTGCATGACATCAGTAGAAAGAAAAACTATTTGGAGTTGGATTTATTGGAAGATTTGGAGATCACAAAGAAAACGAATGGAAACTCTCATCGTCTTAACACTCAAATTAATTTAAATTGTACTAAAGTTAAACCTATTTTTAAAAACTGTATTGCAGCTTCACCCGGTAGTGGACCTAGCTCGGCTGTTTAGACTTCCTGTACTGAGTATATCCATTAAGAATTTATTAATTTCATGCTTTGATCAACATTACTATTGTATTCTTTAAGAATAACTAATCTTTATTTTATTAATTAACAATAAATAATCTTTCAATTGATCTACAGTTGGAGTTAATTTCACTCTTCATACCTCTGCGTAATCTAGATATACCAATTCCACAGTTGTATACTTCAACATCTGCCACTGTTGGTCAGTTGGTCTTTAGTACATATAAGTTTTACAGTTCTCCTATTGGCTGGGGGTTTAACTGAACTACTTGAATTATACCCCATTTATACAATGCTTTCAATTTTGTTTTCATTTTTAATTTTAAATTTAATAGTCAGTTTTCTTTTCTTTATTACAGTATTGACAGTGCCTGGTAGACCATTTTATTGTAGTCAACCACCCACTGTCCAATAGATCGTTTAGTTTATTTCTTTCACTCACACTTTATGTACACTTCATTTATTCTCAAACTTACAACCTTATTATTACAGACGGGTGTAAGTGTGAGATCTGGATTATGCAATCTAGTTAAATCAAAATATTCTATATGTCATATTTCATAAGCTGATTTTCTATATTAGTTTTAGTTGGACCTTTGGTCAATGTCAGTTTACTTACACAGAATTTTAATATGTGCAGATCACATATCCATGACTGTGACTGCCCATCAAAGCTGTCATATGTCACATGTCACCTTAGCATTTCCGTTAAACACCATTCTCTCTCCTGTTACCGCCAAAGAATGTAGCGCAGAACTATTTTAATTAATTTTAAACTGTTTGTTCTTGTTCTAGTGTAGTGTTTGTACAATTTTATGTTAACATCCATGTTTATCACATTCTACGCTTGCTGGATAGCCCATATATGACGAAGTAAGTCTAAGACGTTAATCACAAAAAACTTTTCGAAATTAATTAATTTCCTTCATCTAAAAAACGTTTTTTGGCTTATTTCTGATGCCCCTGAAGATGCTATATTAAGCGAAAGTACTTGGACAATATTTGATTAACCTTGTGTTCGATATAATTGCCTTAATTTTCAACGTTCATTTATTCGAGCATTCAACCTCATATCAATTAAATATTAATTTTTGTAATAATATTAATTTTAGTTTTAGGTTTAATTGTACTAAAAAAACTATTGTTTTTGGATACCATGCTCAAAGAGTGGTAGTATGAAAATTGATATTGTTCTTCACTGACTAAATAAATTTTAATCTTTATTGGAGTATAACAAAATCTAAGATATTACCAAAATATAAAGACCCCCATCCTGCTACGACTCCAGTTTCTCCAATGTACGAACTAGATCTCATTCGATCTTCTACTGGTAGACAAACGGGCCAAACCAATGCTAAAAATAAATATTAGATATTAAAAAAATACGCATAAATAAAAAAAGTATATTTTATAGTGGCGATAATTTTACTTTATACTACAGTCCAACAATTTATTATTTTAAAACTATTAACCCTTAATATCCTAGCGTAATATATAAGTTACGCAATATTGTGTAATTTAAACAGCGCCCTGTAAGAAAACTTATGATAGGATCGCTTAGATGATGTAAGCTTTGTGCAATTTGACATTGTTTCTAATGCATGTTTACTAGTTTGCAGACATAGTGTGTACCTGTAAACATTTAAAATAAGCTGTCGATAAATATTTAGAAAAAATGGACATCAATCTAGAATAAGTATATTTATTTTTTTATCTTGCAATTTTTTAGCTCAAAAAGTAAGTTAGGCTTTACATAAAGATACATAGCCTACATATTATAATTTTATTTTAATATTTCACTACCACTTAGTTCTGTGTAGCCCCAAAGATCAGTATTACATATATGCAACGCTAGGATAATGTACTGCCGAATTTCAGCAAAAATAAACATAAGACGTGATTTCATTCCCAGCGATTTTTTACTAAGATTTATAAAACATTGTTAACTGCCAGTTGGATAACGATGATCATTGATCAGATATCATGTATCAGGTATCAATTTCGCGGTCGCTGTGTGATCACACATGTTTATAATATAATAAATATTACGATATTCTCGGCGTTTTGAGGAACAACGATTATTGCCATCTGGGGATTTACCAACAGAGAATTTTAAGCTACTGCTCCACTGCTAAACATGTTGCGTGAGTTACCCACCAATAAGAGAAACCTACCATATAAACTCTTTGTAGACAACTTGTTTACCAGTGTTAACCTACTGTACAATATGCGAGAAAATGGTATTTTGTGCACTGGTACCATTCGTGAAAATCGTTTACCTAAGGGTATACCTTCACCCTCTAAAACTGATTTCCAAAAACAGACAGATCGAGGTGATTGTAGTGGCGTTATTGAACGTAACAAAGGTATAATTTTTGTACGTTGGTTCGACAATAATATTGTTACTGCTGCGTCTACCTCTTATGGCATTCAACCCATGACACATGTAAAAAGGTTTTCTCAGAAAGAGAAGAAAATTATTCAAGTACCTCGTCCGTGTCTCATAGGAAAATATAACTCATCGATGGGAGGGACGGACTTGATTGATCAAAATATAGGAAGGTACAGGATTGGTATTAGATCCAAAAAACGGTGGTGGCCATTGTTTACATGGTTACTAGAGGCATTATTGGAAAACGCATGGCATATTTATAAAAAGACCAGGAATTCTATAAAACAAATCGATTTTCGCAGAGATTATAGCCACTTCATATCTAATGAAGTATGGTACAGAAGCTAAAAGTGCAAGTCGACCAAAACCCTCAGTTTCAAGCAGTTTCGGTAGTCGAAACAGCGACACTGTCAAATTTGACAGACAAGATCACATCTTGATATATATTCCAAACAAGAAAAGACGACGGTGTGCATTTTAAAATTTCACTTCTGTTGTTAGAACCATGTGTAGAAAGTGTGATTTGTGGTTGTGCATTGATTTTACTGAGCAGTTTCATACAAGATAATTCTCTATATATATGTTAAACATATTTTTTGTTTAAATATATCATTTAATAAAGCTTTATATATTAAATATATCATTTAATATATGTCACATCTAATAACTTTTTTTGTTATCTTTTTGTTGAAAATAAGCTCAGAAACTCGACTAGAGGACTCATACGAACAACAAATTACCATAAAATATATCAGTTTTCAAAAATATAATAATTCAGGATATTAAGGGTTAAACACAGACAGGGCGGTTTGCGCCGCGTCTGCGCCTCGTCGGCTTAAAACACATGAGGCGGTTTAACACCAGCAGTAGTTTTGCCATTGTATTCGGTGTTGTCAAATTTAGTCGAGTTTTTGACGTAGAATGGTATATTGATGTCTCTAGAATCATCTAGTGAAAGTGACGACGATTTGTTTTTCCTAATAAGTGCAAGTTTACTTCATATTAAATCAAAGAAGAAGAAGAAACGCAGGTATTGGATACATTCTATAGTAAATGAATGAAAAAATTAAGGAACGTGTTACACGTTAGTTAACGAGTTTAAAGATGGCCCAGAAAAGTATCTTTCGAAATAAAACTGTCGGTAACCTCTTCTCAAGTTTGTTATTTTCTTTATTTTATTCGAATAATTATCTGAGCGCATATCCCAAATTGCTGGCCGTGTGTAAATTTCGGTAATTAATTTATCGATGTCTATAGCTGCCATAATATATACAAAATTTGGCAAACACTCACAAAAGTAACCAAATAAAACCGCTGTTTAATTGGAAAATAATTCCATCGAGATCTGTACGCAATTTTGTCGTTCTCTGAATTTCATAATAACCCAAGTCTTGCCTTAATATTATGGGAATATAGGTGTAACTTCTACTGTTAAAGCTTTTATATGAATTACTTTCTTAAATTCACTCATATCATTGAAAAATTATCTATGTTACCTAAAAAGTATTATCGACAAGTGTGAAGATCGCATTACCATCGAATTAATGCTTTGTCATCATATTACATTTTTATTGATGGTTAAAAATTAAATGATATTATGGTATTATTGAATATCATAGTGGGAATTAGATGGTAGGTAAATAGTCAATCGGCAAAAATGTTATTTAAAACATGCAAATAGTTTTTCTAATCTGTATTTAACTTATCGTTGTTGTTATAGTACTGGCTGTAAATGTTTATTCGATTGCTTCGTCTGTGTAGTTTTCACACTCATACTTCTTATTTCGATTTAGACAATACTTTTAAAATGCCTTCATGAAACGCCACTGATGCAGAGTAAATAATTAAACATTCGAATAAATTGTGCTTGCCAAATATAAATTTGATAAAACGTATCGTGAATAATGTCTGTTGTTATAGCTGGCTCACTGTAAAGCGAGGCATTCATGTTACGATATTTAGTCCGACTTGTGGTCCAACCTCCGAAATGCACACCTCTCCTAATGAACAGTAAAGAAATTTCTGAATTTATTGATATCTACAGACTAGGGATGAGAAAAACCTACCGGTTTTAACCGAGAAACCCGTTTTTTTTACTTCGAAATAACCGGTTTTATCGGTTGTTTTTTGTTCCGGTTATAACCGGTTTTTTATTTTTAAAGTAAAAACCGGTTATTAGGTTTTTACAGTGATTAGGATTAGGTTAGATATTATTTTGGATCCCACCCAATCATAATTATTATTCTCAAGTAATTATTCCAAACAAAACTAAAATTCAATTTTTATTTTATAAATACAGAAGCAAACTGAAAGTGCAAGCTTACATCAGCCAAAAACAATTAAATTGTATTATAGTATTTCGTTGAAAAAGTATTTGTAATCATAATATTTTTACATAAGAAGTGATCTGGTATTTATACACCATCTATTTTTCACACTTGTGGGTGATGGGTGAACGGCCTTTTATGATTACCAAAAATAATGACTATGAATATCGAATTACCGATTACGAATACGAATCTCCAAGGATTTCCCTACGTTTTCAAAACGATTTATACCCATACCGAAAGTCGTAAATGAGTTAAAAGTAATACATGATAACTTTTTTTTGATGGTAGTAAAAATAAAAGATGAATTGCATTATCCAATTTATTTTTAAGTAAAATATTTATGTTGATATTATTTTCTTTAAATCCCATTTGAAAGAGTCTGGGAAATTTTTGTTGGGGCATTTTTTTCTCACAAAACACAAAAAATTATGTTGTATTTACATTGGTATTGATGTTCTTTCGATAGTACTAATTTTGATCATATTGATATCAAATCGAATGTAGTATCGCAAACTAAAGTGAATTGTAAATGTAACTTTCTAATCTATTGGATCAAAAAAACCGAAAACCGGTTTTTGGAAAAACCGGTTTTTTTGGCCGGTTATAACTGCCAGGTTAAACCGTAAGCAAAAAAAACCGGTATAACCGAAAACCGGTGTTTTGTCAAAAACCGCCATCCCTACTACAGACATACTCTCTGTATGTGTGATACTAGTAATGCTCTATACGCAAACCAAAATGCGCAGAAAACAGCCCAACAACTCTTGCTAAATGCGATATTAAAGTACTAAAATACTGCCAACATAGCGTTCTGTGGTAGTTTCTGTAATCATCGTCATCAACGACATTGAGCAACTTCGTGTTACAATAATTCACACGATCAACGAATAATTCCTTCATCCAACATTTTTTTCCTTCTTTGCAAATTGTGAGGCTAAAAAGCACAATGCTGCCACTTTCCTCCTCCTAATTATATTTTGCGTAGACTTTACTTAATAAATTTTTTGGCTGAGCGATTTATACCACTGTTAAGATAGACTAGGACTGAATGCCTTGCTTAAAGGGCCTCATAATACCCATTAAATTGTACGGAAAGCTATCAAAATGTTGTGAACCAATATTATTTTGATTTTCTTACTAGTAATCGGCGTATTTGATTTGAATCTCGTACAATTGGTATATAATGTTCCATTTATGCCCCCCTCCTCAATTTCTCGTCAAAGTATATTGTTTATCGATCGAAATGAAGTTTTGTCTTAAAAATCAATAGTACCCACAAAAATTTTCTCTGGTGAACATTTTCGTCATATCACATTTGTCATATCACGAAATAATATTTCGTCACATTTTCATTTAAAAGCGTTTTCAGGTAAATGATAAATTGGTTATCTAGCTATCATAATTTAAGAGCAATTTGTTTTTCCTGGTTTTCTCGAGAACGGAAATAAAAACTTCCGGTTTGATAATTTTCCTGCACATAAGGGAATCCAAATCCGTCATCAATCTTTCTGTATATATTGCTATTTGTAGCTGAACTAATCCTCAGGAGGACATATAAACGGCATAAAATTAAAGGATCCAATTGTTTTTAATGTATGTTATTCGATCTAATTGAAAGGGGAATAATAAAAA